AGAATATGGAACTCGGTGATGTTGTCCTTGCAGTGAATGCTTTGATGAACTAAGTTGCCCTACTTTTGTTTCAGGGCACTTACTCCATAGTCCTGATGGCTGTGGTAGACAGCAAGTACAAGTTTGTGCTTATTGACGTCGGTGCAGAGGGACGACAAAGTGACGGCGGCATTTTCAAGGCCTCCGAGATTGGTCAAGGCCTAGATCAAGGCACACTCAACCTGCCGAAGCTGGGAGTGCTCCCAGGGTGTCAAAAGCCACGCCTGGTACCCTACGCATTTGTGGGCGACGATGCGTTTCAGCTTCGCACCGACTTTCTCCGCCCATATCCGGCGAAAGGTCTTGCTGATGAGAGGAGGGCCTACAACTACAGACTCAGTCGAGCTCGGTAAGTTCATACCAGAGCTGTATATGGGGAGAATTTGGCCAGTTTATGATCTCGCCGCCATAACGCCCCCCTCCCAAGTGAGCCAGTCAGCCTGCGGCGCAGAGCGAGAGGAATGAGCGCATGCGCACAAACTCCCGGCTGCTCCCAGCTGTGCGGGGAGGGCCACCATTTTCATTCATTCGTCCGGCAGAATGAATGGGATTGACATCAAAATTTCGGTTTTCTCTTTTGATTTGGCAGGCTCTGGCAAGAAAATGATATAGTGTTATTCCCCAGCGGCTTAAAGAGCTAACGAATAAAGTTTCTCCATGTTTAGACGCAAACTTTTATTCAGGCGAAGAAGAAATAAGCTCGTAGTAGACAACTTGTAGCCTCAACAGTGCTTGGCGCGCCGACAGCGTCGCATCAAAACGGCGGTAGTCTTTTCTTTGCTCCCTTCTTTCTCTCTCGCTCCTTCGTCACTCTCCTCCCCTTCTTTCACTTTTCTCCTCTCCAGCACCTTCGTCGCCACACCCACTGGCCAGATTCTCCCCATATACGGGTCTGGTTCGTGTTGCACAATCAAACCACCAGACAAAAAATTGTGGTGCAGTGCATGTTTTGATAACTGCTATAGATAAGAAGTTGGAGTCAAGATTAATGAAAATCTTTGCACTAAGACAAGCTTGCTAAATTGGTGAAATCTGAGCACATGAACACAGTCTTAAAAGGACACTGAAGACAATTCGCATGTTCTATTTAAAATTGAAGTATATGTCAGGAGTTTCCCCGGCTATGTTGACCATGTTCCAACCGAAACTGAACTTCCGTCTGGTACAAATCATGAAAGCAGTCCTCTTAATAGTCATATTGTGAGCAACACTTCTCGGGGTATCTAGTGACCGGGAAAACCGGGACAAACCCGAATATTTCGGAATATGCAATTTGGATCAAGCCTGCAGAAAATTATCCTCACAGTGCTCAATTTCTTGTGTTGTAATTGTCTTGTATATTTAACCAGATTGTTTTATATATTTAAGTGGTCAGGGAGTTTTGCCTGAAATTGTCAGGAAAAGTCAGGGAATTTCAAAATAATAAATTGCTAGACACCGTGCTTCTATTTTGGGGGACGAAAATCCAGTTAGTTTTGATTTTGCCAGTTTATTTGCAGATGCAGGCACAGGAGTTAACAAAAAGGACAGCGACACGTTTCGGCGCATTGCAAGTCCTGAACATCTTGAGAGTGGGCTATCCAAGGAGTTTATTAGTACTAGGAGGGGGCACATTGCAATATGTGTGAAGCCCAGTCATAAAAAAAGTTTAAACAATGTTGTAACAAACTTGACCCAAGATCTCACTGGCAATTGGTGCACGTGACATGTCACGTGCGAGATGGATGGTTGATTGTAGCAGGATTCCTTGCAGGCTTGCGCGCGCTCCGTCCGGTAGGTTTTATCAGATCGAAGGCTAGATGTGAAGCAAGCAGCTCCGTCCGGTAGATTGCGTCTTGGGCCGATAAGTGAGGAGGGTAAGGAGGAAAATGAGAAAGGCGAGGCGTCAAGGGAGCTTGGATTGTGGAGGGCTGACGTCATGCCCCCTCCTACCCTTCTAATCTTCCAATCGACAACACTTGTTTGTCGATTGTGCCCAAGCACTGCAGACAGTGCCAACAGGGCAAGCCGTCTTGAATTTTCAATTTCAATGACCTTGGTCACACGGCAGGATGCCGCGGATGACCTCAAGCTCGGCATACACCGGATGTGCTCAACTCGGGAGCTCATCACTGCGCAAACTTCCACCTCCTCCTCTAATTTCACTATCTTGAGTTTAGCGCTCTAGCAGCATTGTAGTCTACTACGAGGAGGAACTTTTTTAACCTCGCGACTACAGAAAGGTGCACCTGCCTTGCAACAGAAATTTTGCCATCTTTTTTTTTTTCTTTTTGCCCCCAATAGTATTACTTTTATAACTGCCTCTTGTGAAGTGCTCAGCACATTTAAGAAACTGTCGTAGGATTTTGTCTTGCAATGATTTTGTGAATCGATTTACACTCGGGTTTCATCATACACATTTTTTAGTCTCAAGTCTTTCGTAAATTGCTTAGAAGTGCATCCAGTTTTCATGTTTAGAACATCTGTGAGTGTTTCACTATTCCTTTTATTCCAGTGCTATTGTGTGCACACTAATCACTTTAATAACTTCTGTCAAACAGGAGGTGTGTGGAGAATGCCTTTGGGATCATGTCCGCCCGGTGGAGAATTCTCCTCCGGACAATCAACCTCCTGCCAGAGAACGTCGATTACGTCATCAAGTCCTGCTGTGTCCTGCACAACTTTCTCTTGGCACACAGCGAACACCCAGCAGCCTATGCTGATCAGGACGACAACATGGGAAACCCCACGGCAGGAGGGTGGCGCCGCGAGATCCCAGACTCAGCGAGGGAATTGCTGTTTCCGCTGGAGGCCACACGTGCACGGAACTTTGGCGATGATGCAGACTTCGCCAGGAAGATGTACATGTATTATTTCTGTAGTCCTGCTGGGGAGGTTTCCTGGCAGTGGGACCAGCCTGGCGTGAACAAACAGGTTGCACGAAGCAACCTGCGAAAGCTCGGAGTCCATGTGAACCTCATGTAAAATTTTGAGTCAAGTTGACATTTATTTGGCGAACCTCGGAAGACACAAAACAAAATATTAACTAGATTCTGAACTTTAATAAACACAATAGACCATTCGCAATATCCCCCAAGCGCCGTGGCCCATGCTAGAGGAATCATGGGAACGGTGTCCCTTCAGTTATTTAGTGATCGGTAATTTCGACCCAATTTATGGTTACATAGCTTTTGAGTGTAATTCGGAGTCACCCTGAACAAGCACCTGATATACCCTAAGGCCTTATCATATCGCTCTTAAAATTTCTTAATGTCAGCGTTTTTGACACTGTGCATGCTGTCCACCCTTCAACCTGGACGGGCTGCAGAAATCTCTTGCATTATTATTATTTTCGTGATATTAAGTTGGAAACTTTAAAAATGCTATAAGCCCCACTGACTCCGAGCTAAATCCTGGTTTTTGTTGTGAATTGTCGGCTTTTTAAACCATTGCCGCTAAAACAACAATCACGAGAATGATAATATTGCAAGAGATTTCTGCAGCTCGGCCAGGTTGAAAGGTGGATCGCATGCACAGTATCAAGAATGCTGACATTCACGAGCAATTTGAAAAGTGGTACGACAGGTCCTTGGGGGTAGGGTGATTCCGAGTTGTGCTCAAAAACTGTGTAACCATTGAATTGGTCAAAATTAGCAATCACCAAGGAGCTGAAGGAACACCGTTCCCATGATTCCTCGAGTGCGGGCCGAGGCGCTTGCGAATATAGTAAATGTTCTATAGCAAGAATCGTACATCATCAGAAAATATCGTGGTAATTAACAGTACATTTCTGAACAACAAAATTGCAGCATAAAGTGAATGTCTATACTCGTCGCCTCTACAGCTGTAACAAAAAAAAAAAAAAAGGATGGAGTTGCATGTTCAGAGATAACATTTTAGCCTATCCGTTGAGTGCATGTGCCACACGGCAATGACTAGTTAATTTGACTAACCATGATTATTTCAACTAACCTGTACATGCAACACCAAGTCCCAATTACATTTCTATCCATTTGCTTCATTAGTAAGTTGCTGTTTGAAGGCACTTAGTAGATGCTGTAGGTATATTGATTCACAACAACTTGTCAAGTTTACATATTTCTCACATTGCATATTTTGTTTTGAATTTATTATTGCACTAGTTGTATCAATGTATTTGAATTCTTTAATAAATATTCTGTATATAGATGTAACTTGAACATATCACCATCTTTGTAAATTGCCTGCTGCAGCAGTACAGAATCCACGACTTAAAATGGTAACAGTAACAACATACCAGGTACATATAATCAAAGTGAAACTCGTAAAAGAAGATTAGTCTTGACAACTTTCATTCCTAGAAATAAGATATTGTTAATAGTATGAAAACATTGCTTGGGCACACAATATGCTATGCAGCAATCTTACCAAAGAAAAAGTTGTACACAGGTAATGTATTGCACACAACAGCCTCATGTCTGTAAATGCCCTGCAACTGTAGACTAAATGCACTGAATGTTACATTCCACTATTGCACCCCCAGTAGCTTTTAAACATTAAAAATAGAACAAAATTAAACCAGGTACCCTCTTGGCAGCGCGAAGTCCCACTACAGACAGAGCAATTTACAGATCCTCGAGCTGAAACACGGAATTGCTGGAATTGATCCGGCTCGATGCCACCTATACCCGTTTTCACCTCAAGAAAAAGGGAAGTTTTGCTCCATGTTCCTACGCCGCGCGAAGTAGTTCTCACAAAATTTGGTCGTCGGAGGAAGAAGCGATGCTTTTGGCGTTTGAAACGTGTACGTCTTGATAAGAGAACACATATCTAATCTAAAATACACCTACATATGTCTCAAATCTAAGCGTAACGAGGGAAATTAGTAATGCTCCGCGAGCAGCCAAACTTTTTTTACTATGGTTCTTGAGGTGAAAACGGGTATAGCAAGAACGGCGGGATTACTAGAAAAAATTGCCCCATCTGAAACAAGCCTAAGTTATCTAGTCCTGGCAGTCTTCGATAGCCTGCAGGATGTTTTTACGCATTCTTAACACCTTAGATGGATGAATAGATCGCATTGGATCGCACAACGATAGGGCAAAGTATTCATGCGCATCTGGCTTCTTCTGGCATGCAACACTAGAACTTATATTTTGGAGCTCCGTCAAGAGCGGGTCAGGATTGCTCTTTTTTTTTTTTTTGCGGCTCGTTCGTAGCGCCACTGGAAAAAGCTGGAGGGAATGGGCTTCCCACCCCCCCAGACTGGTGCTCCTCGTCCACTTCATACACTTCGACAATGCAAGCCTCCGGCTCCGGCCCATCCGCTGCTCTACTTTCGTCTAAATAGGCCCCCTCGTTCACCGGACGGATGAAGTCGTTATTACACGATGTGCCAGATGTCTTCACGTTTCCTGACGTGCTGTTGATTAAGAAGAAAAAAAATTACTTTAATAAAACAAACAATCAGTGCCACACATCAGGGGCACAGCCAGGAATTTTCGGGTAGGGGAAGGCTAGGCCCACTAGTGCAGTGAACGATTGTGTGAAGCGCTTCGGCAGATTTCGCTGAGTTAGCATGAAAAATGGTCATAAGTCGCTGCACACTGCTAAAAATAGCCTAATTATATTTCATTCTTTCTGTACCTTTCATCACACTGAGTATTAACCAGTAGAAAGTTCACATTGTGCAGGAAGCTTATGCTAGCCGAAATGTTCGATCGGCACAGCTACTACGCAGCTCCAAATCTACTCAGACCTTAGTGTATCAGAACGTTACTAAAAGCGCCGTAAAATTGCGTAATTATAATAATGATCATGTTTATTTGCCCTCGGATGCCGGTGACAGCAGAAAGACCGAAGCGCCATACCAGAGGCATGCACACGTGGAATCTATGAGTGGCGATCTATTATTTGGGGACAGCGAAGCCTGGACGGCTATCAAATAATTTAATCAAAGAACACTATCGGAGAATTCGCAGTGCACGCATTACCTTCGATGCTGCAGGGTATCTCGCACGAAATACATCTGCTCGAAGTGCGGCCACGACATCGGGTCTTCGACGTCGTCGGCGCCGGCACCGCTCGTCCTGGTTTTCTTCAAGTCGCGCAGCAAGCGCACCAGCTTGTCCCGGAGTGATCGCCAACGTTTCTGGACTTTGTCCACTAAAATAAAAAGAAGACTGAGATTGAGGCGGGCACTTTCGTTGGTGAAAGTTAGGACTTACCGCGATCCTTGTCTCCCGGCAGAAGGAGATCGCCGAGTTCACCCCAAATGGCCGATTTTTTTTTTGTATCCTTATAATCCTTACATTCCGGCTGCCAGAGCGCAGGACGCTTTTCAACTTCACTAATTAGGCGTTCGTTGTTCACTGCCATTTTCGCAAGGCCGTGGAAAAAACTACAATAGTCCTACAGCGGTGAAAACTGAAGAAACTTCAAACGCTGCTTGCTACTAAACACGGCCGTTCATTGGTTGTTGCCTGCTGGACGCAGCGGGAGACGCGCCGCCTGGACGCAAAATATCTGGCTCCTCCAGATACGCCGGAATGCGCCTAAAAACGCTGCGTTTCGTCCTTGCGCCGGAAGTGACGTCAAAGCGCAGGCGCAGACGCGACGCAGACGCGGGGAAAAACGCACCATGTGGGCTAGCCTTAAAAGAACACACACGGGACCGCCACCCGCTTCATGTCCGAACTCGTCGACCACGCATGGATGTCAGGACACCAATTTGACATTGACAAGGCATCGACCTTGGAGGGGGATAAAAGGTGGGAACCGAGGAAGCTGCTGGAATCTTGGTTCATCCAGAACGACAAACGCGGAAGTGATTCATCGCTGGTAAACAAGAACCGTGGCCCCCTGCCGGACGTGTACACAAACTTTTTGCCTAAATAACCGAACTTTTTTGTGCGACTCTCACTCGCTCTGCGCTCTACTGAAGATGCCTACCGCATGGGAGGCGAAACGTTTAATTAAATTGTTATTTTTGTGATGTCAAGCCGTTTTTGTTATTACATTTATCACGTCTTCGCCCGGCTTGTGGAGTATTTTTGCGCTCCTAATTTCATCGGCACGACAGCCATGGGGGGCCACTGCGAGCAAATGGGGAGAGAAATAATTGAGGCCTATCGGATGGCGACAAGCCCGGAAAACATAACCACCCCGTCCATTTCGCTCTCAAGAAAGGAGATTATCTTTCTTAGGCCCTTAAAGGGCCCATGAAACGATTTTTATGTTGGGATAAATCATTTTAGATTGGGATTTTACTAATAGCACATCGTTCAGTGGACCAAAAGAAAAAGGTAGAAAGTCAAAAGCCTGACTTTCAGTGCGAAAATTTGAAAACAGAGCGGACTATTTCGTACCTCCTCCCCTTCGCAACCTCTCTGCCTTTTCACTGTGATACAACCGCGGTCCCAAAAGCGCGTTATCGGGTCCAAACTGACGTCACACGCAACCGGACCTCACTTATTCCCTTCACCCCTAAGCTGACATTGTGGTGGAAGCTACACGCTTGCCGGACCAATCAGCCGCCTCCCTTTCATCACCTGACTTCATTCTCTGCAGCCACATTTGCCACGCTCACGTGGCAAGTGTGGCTGGCCCAACGAGCACGTAGCTTCAACAGCACTGTCAGCTTCGGAATGAACGGGGTGGGGAAAGCGACTTTTGTCTGAATTTTGAGCGACGGGCTACTCTTCTAGGGGGAGAATGGATGTGTCCGGGATTACACAAACGGGAGTGCGAGCAAGAGGTGACTCCCCCTTTTCGTCTTCTTCAACTGTTTGGTGGAATGCGCGATTTATGAGTTCAGGAGGAAAGCGAAACAGGAAAAAGTTGGAAAAGCGTTTCATGACCCCTTTAATGGAAGCCGCACGCTGACAGACTAGGCAAGGCGACAAGGTCACCGGCAGAAGCGGCCTTTCCTTTTATGCGTTGTTGATGCCCCTTCGACCTCGCCTTTTGCAAATCCTCCCCACCTGCTTTTGCGTCTTCGTGTGGCTGTCAGCGAGCGCGACAGCCGCTTTAAGCAAATCAAAAGGATGAAGCGAAACGCGTTACTCAGCGTGACCTCTCTACATAGGACGCGTAGGACAAAAAAGTTTGGACGAAAATTTGTCACGTGACTTTTTCTGTCACGCTGATGGGATCTCTGGGGCTGTCGTTTTCGCCGTTTGCCTAGTTATAGAAATAAGCAGGCCACGTAGGTCCGGTTTTCGAACTGGGCTCTTCAGTGTTCTGTTGCTTTCGTGCGTTGCAGACGCTGCCGTGTTTTTTCGTCGTAAACGGTCGGAATACGTCCATGCCAATTTTTCGGTAACAGTCATTTTTTGCACCGGAGTTCGTGGAATACTTGTGATGTGTTTGTTGGACACGCTTCGACAAAAACTGCTCTTCGCCGACGACGAGACGTCAGTTGAATGTGCGCAACCTTCTTCCTCGAATGTGTTTGTGGGGTGCCTGAGTTGGATTATGCATCTATCAAGGATTACATGATATCGCTCTTTTATTAGTAAGTGCACTGCAAGCATGATTCTGATAGTCGCCCTGCTTTCCTTTCATTCTCCGCGGTTTTACGTGTGATGAGTTTTGCTTGGCATGAGGACAGTGTTAATTGTATTTTATAATTTGCTTTTCGTTTTACAGAGAAGTGTGACCTTTGTAAATATGTTGAGAATACACTGTGTGTAATGATAGTTGTTTAATAAACTTCTGGGAGCGATCGAAAAAATTTGTTTGTCCGTATAAGTGATTGGATATGCAACAAATGACATGTAACGTACACATACTTGCACGACGTTCGGCCAATACGAAGCAGACGCATCGTAGAGTTTTTGCACAATATTACGCGAACGCTAGGCCGGGGCGAAACAGCTGTACGGCAATACCTGCCGGGTATCAAACGGTGGTGCAAAACTGGACAGTTGAGCGATATTGTAACCGACTTTCGGCCGGCACTGGCACGATACTGCAAAGTATTGCCGTGCTGCTTGGGAACGGAGGTGATGACATCTTACTATCGTGCTTCCAACGCGTATTTATTTTATTTCTCTCCTGGGACGCGTAAAAGAGCACTTTTGTGACACACCAGAGATATTCGAAACTTGGGCTGGCCTCTCGGCTTTCTTTGCCACTTTTGGCACTTCTTTGGCACTTCAGTGGGTAGCCAGAAAAGAGCCAAACTTCGGCATGCCCCGAATCGACAAATTAACATTTACTGCGGCAGTTATGGCTCAAGTCTGGCACTTACTTTGGCACAACTGTGGCGGACCAGAGAAAAGCCAAACTCGGCGAGGCTGAAATACCGAAATTAGGCGTTGCTTTGGTAGCTATGGCTCACGTATGGCACACTTCGGCACTCCTGTGGCGTATCAGAGAAACGCCAAATTTTGGCGTGTCCGAAATACCCAAATTAGGCGTTGCTCTGGCAGTTATGGCTGAATTATTGCATCAACTTTGGCGCTCCTCTGGCGGACCAGAGAAACGCCAAACCTTAGCACGTCCCAAATACCGAAATTAGGCGTTGCTCTGGCAGTTATGGCTGAAGTATGGCACCAACTTTGGCGCTCCTCTGGCGGACCAGAGAAGCGCCAAACCTTGGCATGCCCCGAATTCCCAGTTTAGGTTTTATTATGGCAGTTATGGCTCAAATCTGGCACCAACTTTAGCGCTCCTCTGGCGGACCAGAGCAACGCCAAACTTTGGCATGTCCAAAATACCCAAATTGGGCATTGCTGTGGCAGTTATAGCTCTAGTATTGCACTACTTCGGCAATCCTGTGGCGGACCCGAGAAAAGCCAAACTTTGGCACGTCCCAAATACCGAAATTAGGCGTTACTCTGGCAGCTATGGCTGAAGTATGGCACCAACTTTGGCGCTCCTCTGGCGGACCAGAGAAACGCCAAACCTTGGCACGTCCCAAATACCGAAATTAGGCGTTGCTCTGGCAGTTATGGCTGAAGTATGGCACCAACTTTGGCGCTCCTCTGGCAGACCAGAGAAATGCCAAACCTTGGCATGCCCCGAATTCCCAGATTAGGATTTACTATGGCAGTTATGGCTCAAGTATGGCACCAACTTTGGCACTCCTCTGGCGTACCGGAGAAGAGCCAAACTTTGGCATGCCATAGGATCGCCCAACTTAGGCTATAGTTAGGCACCGTACTTTGGCACTGATGAATGCCATGGTGCAAAAACCGAACTGCGCCAAAGTTGGGCCCTTATGTTTGCCAGACCTTTGCCCAAGTTGGGCATTCCTCTGGCGTGCTACCTGGGCCTGGTCCACGAGTGGTAACTTTAGCGCACTACATTGCTTCTCACGCGCTCAAAATCTTTCTAAAATTAAATTAAAAGACCCGCCAATGACCAGTTCCTCTCCGCTGGTGCACTTGTTGCTGAAATGACATGCACGAACTGCGCCGCGAGAGTGTGGTAATGAAACTCGTGTTAACGCAAGTTCCTCCACTTCAGCAGATCGAATGAAGTCTCCTGTATCCACTTGAAGGAGATGTATTTGTCGACTTCGTCACTTGCGGTGTCTGGCACATCGTCGTCGGTGTCCTCTAAATCAGATTAAGAGCCCGGTCGTTCGGATGTCTTCTTCTCTTAAGCAGCACTTAAGCCGAGATAACCTCGACATCTTCGACTTGGTCTTTCTTCGTCACTCGACCCTCTTTAGCACCTGCGATCGTCTTCCTGACGTCATTGTGTACGGAACGCTTTTCTGAGTCGTCGAGCAGACGCAAGCTTTTTAGTTTGGGAAGGAGAAACACAGCTACTTTGTGCAAGCTGTGCTGTTCGAGTTTTTCTTGAAGAAGCCGGAAGCACGTACCTTTGAGCGCCTGCAGAAGCTCAGAATCGTTATGTTTTCTCTCTAGGCGCTTCAGGAGTTTCCTTCGCCACCAGTCCACAAAGTAGAGGGTTTGTCTACATCGTGACTCCAGGGCATCACTCGCTATCTTGAAGGACTAAAAAAAGTTTTAGGGACACTGCAAAGTATCTTACTCCATTTCGTGGGCAATGCTCGTTTTGCATTTCTCTGTCAGTACAGCAAAAAATTTTGTCCCACTGCTGAAAAATAGATGAGAGCATGATAAACTTGCTGTTCCACCTAGTTTCGACGCCTTTTTTGAGCGAGGAATCTTAACGGCACTGCAGCCCAGTTCACTTGAAGAATGTAACCAAGGATCGACAAGCGCGGGGAAAATCTAAAAGAGCAATGGTGTCATCTCATTGGTCAGAAAGCATTGTCGTTTCAAGAACAGTGTTTGGAATGTGGCACAATTTAGGCGCACCTGTGATCTCAGTGCCGCGATTACATTCGTGCCTCTGTCTGTAACAAACACAAAGTTTCTAAGACAGTCTTTCTTGAAGGTCAAACCTTG